GCCAGAACTGTCCACCGACTTTGCAGCCGGTAAACGCTAAGAAATATCAAAGACATAAAAGCTGCACATAATTGTTACATTTTTTGTTTCTTATTTTACTCATCATTACCTCTGTATCTTTTTCTGACATATTTTCATTTTTATATAGCAAAAAAATTTTTGTTAGCCTGTTTTGAGTATATCTTTTTAAAATGTTCTTCTTATTTGTTTATATATGTTCATTTGTTGAAGTACAACTTCCAGTTGACATTACTGACTGATAGGAAAACTTCCAGTAAACATTACTGACTGATTAAATGTCTGGCTCTGTGGTGGAGCGATTAAGATGCCAAACTCACGCTCGGAAGGTTCTGGATTAGATTTAAGAAACTCGCAGGTGATTGGTTTATAATATACGGGTCAAGGTCACCTATGCATCCATGGATCATGTTATTACAATCAAAATCACTGCATCCTTGCTTAGCCTTCCGATGCAGCAGCCCCCTAGGGTGCTTCTAGTGATTGTTTCCATTAGAAGTTGGTTATAATATTGGTCAGCCTCTGTGGCTCAGGTGTTGCAAGCATGCTTCGTAATTCTGAGGTGCCCTGTTTGATTCCAGCTGCAGGTGATTTGACAACTTTATGTTAATTTTTACAGCGGTGTTGAGAGCCAGATGCTCAGAAGGCAATGGCAAACAACTAAGCGCCAAATTGCCTAGTAAAATCACAAACGGCTGAGAAATACTTGTGTTGGTTCCTCAGCGACCTGCAAAGGGTGTGCAACTCACATGTTTTTTTTTTTTTTAAATATCTCCTATCTTGACCTCAAAGAGGGCACAGTCTTCTTCACTCGGCTTGACACTGCTGTATGAATTTCAGTTTGTTTGCAGCCACATAAACTAGTCCATGTGAGAGATGGTGACTATCTTCATTCCTCGCTGCAGTTGTACATTTTGTCCCACCAGGACATCACACAAGCGATAAACACCCGATGACACAAAGTGCCACCATGCAGATGAGGTCCCGGAAACCGCGTTCAGCCGTCAGGCTATATTGTGGCCCCTGGCAAGAGCCAGGGTGGGGCTTCAAAATAATAAAAAAATTGCTTCCCACAAGGGGGTGACGATATATAAGGACAATCGCTGCAGTCCCTTACTTCAAGAGTCCTGCTTTAGTAGTAGTAATTCTGCTTCTTTTTTCGTTCATCCAGTGATGTAATTGCATTATGTCTGTCTACAGCATATTTTTTTTACTTTTTTCAAAAATGACCTTGACTCCCAGGTCGACTCAGCCTTGAGTGGGTACCGGGTGCAGTCCTGGGAAGTCAAGGCGGCCGGCGTAATGCTGACCACTTTGCCCTTTTTGTGTCGATTGGTCTATAAAAAATATAGGTCTAGCCCTATATGCCCTATACGCCTAAAGGTGTAGAAAAGGGACCTTTAATTTTTTCTTTACTCAATGGAAGGCAGGGGCAGATCATGAGCATTTCCCGCCATCCTAGGAGGCTTCCATACATGCAGAGCTGACACAGTTCGCTGTGGCCCTGGTCTCACCCAAGGAACCGTCATAGCTTATACATTACTGCTTGACCTCACACCCATGTGTTGAGCTTCCCACTTCTTCACATCCCAAGGGCCTTAACTTTCAGTCACGCATCTGACCCAAATTACTGCGCCACTTGCAGCAGTATTTGAAATGAAAATTCGCTGGTTAGAATACTGGATTCTCATTTGAGAGACCTGGTTTTCAATCCACAGTAAGGTGCCTGGGACAGAAATAACAATCTTAACCTGAGCAGGTAATGGCAACTGTTCTAGCCATACGGCTCTTTATCTTCAAACTTTTGTGATATCGGACTCAATCAAGTGTGCAGAGGTGCTGAATTACACACTGGGGCTCACCAGGGTTCAGACGGGTCAGGACCTTTTTACACTGTCATCCTAGAAACAGGCAGGCCTAGCTTACATAGGATCAGTGTTGCCTTCAAAGTGGGTGTGCATCTAGCTGAGAAGTCAGGAACCATCAGTCTGCACACAAACAAATCAGATATGTAAAATAGATTTGCATGTAAAACCCAGGTCCTGGAACTAGATCAGAGTCTAGAAGTAGATGAACAGCCAGGACCTTATGCAGTAGTGTACAGCCAGTGAAAGTGAAGAGGGAGACTCAGGAGGATTTCACACAGGTAGCATTGACACAGATGATTCTGTCCAGTGAGACATCCTGCCTTCATAAACTTGTGACACTTGTAGCAGTACGGTGTAAGAATAGGGTTTGATTGCCAGGGTAAAAACTATTCCACACACAAAAATAATACCTGATTGAACAGTGGAGCATACAAAACTGCAACAACCAGAATGAGAGTGTAGAATAGACCCATTGCCTCCCAACAAACACGTCGTAGGAATCAACTATTTGGGGGCTTCATTCGAAGTGCACCTGCCCAAGCCGCCAGGAACAACCAGTTGCACACGGAATAAGCCAGTAAAACGGATGTACATTAAAACTCAGGCCTTGGCGCAAAGCCAAAGTCCAAATGGGCGAACAGCCAGGACTTTCTACTGAAAATTTGCAAACGGTGAACAAAGGAGAAGATTGCTAGGGTATGTGTTTGAACACACAAAAAAATGTGTTTGAACAATGGAGCGTACAAGACTGCAATAACCAGAATGGGAGTGGAGATTAAAGGAATTGCTGACCTTCACTGAGAAGCCAAACCTGGTGAACAGTTGCAAGGTGAAGTCAGATGTGTCAACCAACAGTTGCAAGATAAAGTCAGATTTGTCAACCAACAGTTGCAAGATGAAGTCAGATGTGTCAACCAACAGTTGCAAGATGAAGTCAGATGTGTCAACCAACAGTTGCAAGATGAAGTCAGATGTGTCAGCCAACAGTTGCAAGATGAAGTCAGATTTGTCAACCAACAGTTGCAAGATGAAGTCAGATGTGTCAACCAACAGTTGCAAGATGAAGTCAGATGTGTCAACCAACAGTTGCAAGATGAAGTCAGATTTGTCAACCAACAGTTGCAAGATGAAGTCAAATGTGTCAACCAACAGTTGCAAGATGAAGTCAGATGTGTCAGCCAACAGTTGCAAGATGAAGTCAGATGTGTCAACCAACAGTTGCAAGATGAAGTCAGATGTGTCAACCAACAGGTGCAAATATCACAGCTATTCTGTAAACTGGTACATTGCTTTTACCTTATTTGGACAAACGATGAAGAAGAAGAAGACTGACCAGTAACAAATTAAAACCTGTTTTTTTTCCGTGGTGCATCAAGCACAAGTTCCTGGACTTACAATTGTATTGACCATTCAGCACTCGATGGATGTTGTGGTCAGCACCATGCCGGTCACCCTTACCTCCTTCACTTAGTATCTATTTTGTTTGGTTTGACCAGGCAGCTAGGGTCAGCTTTGAAAGAAAAGAAAAAAAAAGTCTGCCTTCATGCAGATTTAAACCCAAGATATTTGGACAGGTAGGAGAGCATGTAACTGGCTTATCCTTGGCTCCCTTATAATCTTTATAGTAAATTGATTGTAAAATCAGGCTTTCTGTTAGTGCTCGGCAGTTGGTAGCTGGGCAGCCTTGGCTCAGACGGTCATGGAATGAGACATCTTATATCCACAAACTCTGGAAGTGTTGCCCTGACCATGAAGTACAATCAGTCAGCCACCTAAACTTTATTTGCTGCTAGGAATGAGTCACTCATCTGTTAGGAGAAACTGATTCAGTCAGCAATTAAAAATTTCATTAGCTGAGAGAGGCTGAGTCACTCACTTATCTGCTGAGGGGGACTTGAGTCACTCACTCATCTGATGGGAGAAACTGAAACAGCAACCATAAACTTTATCTGCTGAGAGAGACTGTGCCAGTCAGGGATGATAAACTTTATCTGCTGGGAGAGACAGAGACAGTCAGGGATCATAAACTTTATCTGCTGGGAGAGACAGAGCCAGTCAGGGATCATAAACTTTATCTGCTGGGAGAGACAGAGCCAGTCAGGGATCATAAACTTTATCTGCTGGGAGAGACAGAGCCAGATCATAAACTTTATCTGCTGGGAGAGACAGAGCCAGTCAGGGATCATAAACTTTATCTGCTGGGAGAGACAGAGCCAGTCAGGGATCATAAACTTTATCTGCTGGCAGAGACAGAGCCAGTCAAGGATCATAAACTTTATCTGCTGGCAGAGACAGAGCCAGTCAGGGATCATAAACTTTATCTGCTGGCAGAGACAGAGCCAGTCAGGGATCATAAACTTTATCTGCTGGCAGAGACAGCCAGTCAGGGATCATAAACTTTATCTGCTGGGAGAGACAGGGCCAGTCAGGGATCATAAACTTTATCTGCTGGGAGAGACAGGGCCAGTCAGGGATCATAAACTTTATCTGCTGGGAGAGACAGGGCCAGTCAGGGATCATAAACTTTTTCTGCTGGCAGAGACAGGGCCAGTCAGGGATCATAAACTTTATCTGCTGGCAGAGACAGGGCCAGTCAGGGATCATAAACTTTATCTGCTGGCAGAGACAGAGCCAGTCAGGGATCATACAACTTTATCTGCTGGCAGAGACAGAGCCAGTAAGGGATCATAAACTTTATCTGCTGGGAGAGACAGGGCCAGTCAGCAACCATAAACTTGATTTGCTGGAAGGTTTTTGGAGAGATGGAATAAAAATGTGATTGTTGAAACAACAAAAACAAAAAATTAAACAAAGAAAAGGGATATACTTTGGCTACTTGAAAAGGAAGACTCACACTAGGGAGAAAAGTTTAAAGCAAGAGATTGGCAACGATAAAAGTGAGAGGATAACGGCAAAAGATGGATCAACAGCAGTCTGAGAGTTTACAACCAGAGCAAGAAACAATATTACAGACCCATTGCAGCCAACCTTCATTGTGAATCTCACCTGATTGATAGAACTAGATGTGTTTTTATTATTTTTAATATTATTTTTTTGTTTGTTTCAGTTTCTTGAGGTTTGATTTCTGCACCTCCTTTCTTTTATCTATTTCAGAGTGTTGACATATCAATAATTCTGGCTGAGGCCGTCAGGAGGACACACAATGGAGAATCAGTATCGTATCTGTTTGGTCATGTACCCATGTGATGTCTTCACCTGATGAGACCCAGTTTGTTCACTCAAGATATCGGCTGCAAGCAAGACATCTGCTGTTTATTTAGCTGTATTATTTTGTATTGTTACAATGCTTGTATGGTTATAATGAACTAGTATAATGAAGAATGTAAAGAACCTGTAGTTTCCATTTAGCTAATTTTATGATGTTATTGGGCAAGTTTTACCCTTTAGATCTTGTTTAGTTGCTTGTCTTGAATTATTTTCAAGTGTCTGCTTCTTTGCACTTGTTGGCTGTAAACTCCGGTGGAAAGTCTCTTCTTCTATTACTTCTGGACTTTGGTCTTGTTCCAAAGCTTGAGTGTTTGCCTGCACACCTGTGTGACAGATTTGGCTTATTTGTGCTTCCATCTGTTAGTTTCTAGCCTCTCAGGCAGCTGTTAGTTTCTAGCCTCTCACGCAGATGCGCTGCCAACTTGGAAAGAAATGTTGATCAATAGACCTGTGCTAGCCACAGGCTTCAGGGCGGGAACCTCTGCCTAGGATGACCACAGATGATCACACCTTCATTTGGGGCCCATTGTGGAGAGGTGTGATCACCTACGCCAGTTGGCAAGGCAATTGATGATGATGATAAAATAATATACATAAATAAATTGCTGTCTCCATGTTGGCTACGAGCTTCATTTTGGGTAAATAGAAAGAACAAACTCACTGACCCCTTAACAGGCATGCCATAAATGAGGACCATGTACTGGGCCAGAAGGCACAGATGTTGCAGCATAGCTGTTTTTGCCATGGCGGGAAAAAAATTGAGGAGAGAGATGAAGCTAATATGGGCTTGGCCTGGGTGCTTTGATGTTGAATCTCGACCCAATATGACCCAGATGTTTTTGCCGTTGTTGTTGTTGGGAGACCCGGCACATTTATTTATTTTTCCTAATATTTTTGCCATGATATTATTATTTATATTAACAGTAGGTTTTTTGTTATTAGTTTCATCTTATTTTATGCAGGTGCAATACTTATGAAACATTTTTTCCCTTTATTCCTTGCGAACAAACTTTTTTGTCCCTTTATGTAGGGCTTGTTTTTATAGTTAGATTGGCATGCCATCTGCTCATGTATGCATTATATGTAACCGTGTCTGTGAATATGTGCCTGCATCCTGATTGAAGTGATGAATGAGTGAATAAAGAAGTGATGTCCTTGCACTCAGAACATTCCCACATGTGCTCCGTCTCCTTCCTCAGTAACCAACAAAGAATAGACATGCTAATAGTACCTGTTGCAACCTAATTACAAGTACGCCTCTGTTTTCTTCTTAGTGTTGAATCTATTTCAGAACCTCTACTCACCCCTGCTGCTACTCACCCCTGCTGCTACTCACCCCTGCTGAACTAGTCTTTTGAGGTATGGAGACAGTTTTGTGGCAGTGTCCACTCGATCCCCTAGAGACTTTATCACCTCCGCTTTATCATAAAGTAGCGCACCGCCCAGAGGAGTAGCATCAGCAAGTCAGCTTGCTGATTACCCTGCACTGAAAATCTATGTGTTCCTAGTCTGAGTCATCGAGCGATGTAAACCATTCTTTGCCCAAGTACCCAGTGTCTATTTTCTGTGCATCTTATGTAGCATTTACACTCACAACTTGTTGCTGTCTTCTTGGGTTAGAGATTTAAGTAGGCTTTAGCTCCCAAGTTGAACCAGCCCAACATGCCACCAGGTAGTTTCCTGTAAGTAAAAATGGCCAGCTTCATGTTTCTTATATGGCCCATTAGGTAAGTGCTGATTCGTCTATAAAACTAAGCCTAGCATTATATGCAAGATGCACAACCTGAAAAATTTTTTTTTTTTTTTTTTTTCTGGCTGTATGCTGCAGCGGAAAGTCTGATTTGTGTCAGGGCCTGAGGTTTGTGTGTACATCCGTTTTACTGGCTTATTTGTGGTTGTTCATTGCTGCTTAGGCAGATGTACTCTGACTTTGAAGGAAGCCCCCAATTAGTTGACTTCTATGACATGATTGTTGGGAAGGCAGTGCGTCTGTTCTTGTTTTCCCCATGGTAGGGCCCCAGAACCGACACAGGGAACCATTGGAATCAAAATGGACCTTAGAGGCAGAAAACTATACAGCACTCTGGTTCTAGGTTGGTTTACTGTTATCCATTAGTAGACAACCGTCAGTCCCTAGGGACGGAGCATGGAACTGCGCCGCTGGGCTAGGGAACCGTGTCTGCTAAAACTTTAAAGTCCCATGCCAAAGTGGCAGTCTCTGCCACATGGTCCCATAGAAACTGTTACACTGTATTATACCCAGGATGGTTTTCTTTCTCCTCTCTGCAGCTTGCTGCGTCTGGCCCTCTTACAATTTGCAAAAGTCTGTCTTTCACTGTCGGCCTCCATAGGAGTTAGACCTCTCGCAGTCTAGCCCTTTATCTCTGGCAGAGAACCAATGAACCAATCCACAGTTAGCACTTTACTACATCAGCTGCCCTGCCTCTCTTACAGCATTAAGTGTTCTTACCCTGCTGCTGTTGTTTTCCTTGGCTCTATTGCACAAGCTTAATCTGCTCAGAAACAAGAAGCTCCTACGGTGTTGTCCATTGACCCCCCTGCCTATATCTTGTCAGGTGTTGCACACTTTTGATTTACTGATTTTGCGATTTATTTGAGATTTGCAATCCTTTGACTGGCAGCATTCTAACTTTTTGTAAGGTATTCACTATGTCAGCCGGGTCCGTTGCGGGGCTACTTTCCACAATAGATCAGCATATTCATTTGCACATTCACCCACATGATCTGACAAAAATAAAGCTAATTTTTGTCAGCCAGGTTCAGAATTGTATAGAGGAACACATGGGCGAACAGCTAAGAATGCTAGGCTCTCAAATGAACCCTTGAAAAGGCCATGAATTTGTTTCTGTCAAGGGGCAGAATGATGTCAGCTGAGGCTTAGATGTTATAAATTGTAGTTTCATAATTCCAACATGTCAAGGTTTAAAGTCGCTGCAGGTAATATGGCAGCAGACCACTTTGCATTGATTTCAACAGCTTTATGAGCATCAAACCATTCAGAAAGCAGTGGCAGAATTACCCAGTAACACCACAAATTGCCAAATATTGTTAAATTTAGTTTCTTTTTATTATTTTCATATTTTTAGTTTAAGGTAGTATAATCTCATATGTTGTTATTGCCAAATAACAGTTAATTCTGGCCTTTTGTTGTTCTCATTCTTCTTAGTTACCATATCACATTTGCTGTTACTGCCATATTTTGTCACCTTTGTTATTGTTACCTCTATATTATTATTACATATTGTTGTTATTAATGTTCCTATGATGAATTATTGTTATTATTATTGCTAAGAATTTTGTTAATTATTGTGAAATTGTTATTATTAGTGATTATAATTATTATGTTATTGTTTTTACTATTATTACTGTTGTTATTATTATTACTACTTCTACATCTGACTGAGAGGCAATTAACCAACACTCTGCATGCAAATGAGTCAGACCTGTAAAACAGATGGGCACGCAACACTCAGTTTCTGAAACAGGACTAGATTTCAGAAGTAGACGAAAAACCAGAAATTTCTGCCGGAGTTTACGGGCAGTGTGAACGTGAAGAAGAAGAAAAAGAATTCTACTTTTGTTGTTATGATTTGTTTTTACCAGTAGTGATGTTGTTGTTATTGCATGTGTTCAGCTTCTCCATATATCTTCCATTAAACCATTTAAACACTGTGTATGCTGGGGTTTCTTTATGTCTTAAGGCCCTGCCCGCACCATATTGAAGTGATCAAGGCTTCATATAGACTAGTTTACAGCATTGTGAGTTAAGGTGACAAGCATTCTTCCTTCCCAGAGAATCTGTAATACCTGTTTGTTTGTAAGGCTTGGAATCAGGTTGCATTATTTTTTCTTCTGTGGTTGGCAAATTGTGCTGTGGTTTACAGCTAGGCTGTGAATTCTAGCTTTGCAACCCAAAACCATTAAATAAAGTATCTTTTGATTGAACTAGTCTTGACTTGTTGTCCTGTTCACTGTATCATTTGATGCACAGACACAATTGATAGAAGTTACTTGTTGACCTGTTCACTGTATCATTTGATGCACAGACACAATTGATAGAAGTTACTTGTTGACCTGTTCACTGTATCATTTGATGCACAGACACAATTGATAGAAGTTACTTGTTGAACATGTTAGCACCGTTTGCTCAACACAGTCACTAAAGTAATTTTCAAAATAAAAGGAAGAACCTGTTTATGAGGTGTGCCTCCCCCCTCTCCCCCCCCCCCCCCAACAACAACAACAAAAAACACAGATGAAGTTATCTGCCACTTCCAAATGTTATTTCTAGTAATTAGGATGCTTACCACTCGTCGTAACTTGGTTCGAAACCTTGTTGAAGTGATGGATAATTTTTCTGTCAAATACTAAAGTACAAATCCTAACCTACACAGTTGTTGGAAACTGCACTAGCTGTGCAGCCCCAAATCCTCAGGACTCTCTTATGTACACCACCTTTGAAAATGGTAAATCTTGATCTTCTTCTCCAGTCCTGTTTTGCCTTTTGGTGTCAGGTTTTGAAGAGGCATCAGGTGTGATTCTTGTTATGTGCTACCTGGATACTGGTGTTTACGGCCTGTCATTTCTACCTATCCATCACATGCCTGGTTGACTTGTAGCTCTTTTTCTATTATGTCTTAAGTGACGTAGCTTTCTGTGGTGCACCATCTGGTGGTAGTCTTCACACATGTCTGAACCATTTGATCTGTTGTCTCCTGATGTAGTTTAGTTAAGGTTCCGTCCCAACTTTTTTCCTGATATTGTAATTTCTGATTTTGTCTCTTCTAGTTACATTTAGGATTTGGCTTAGACATTTCATTTCTGTTGTTTAGATTTGTTTCTTCTGTTAATGTCCATGTTTGGCACTGGTAACACAAAAATAATGTGTAAATAAAGTTTCAGTTTCTAGATGTCGTATGATATACAATGGCCATAGATGTCATGGATTTAGTGAATGT